TGCTAAATAAGGCACCATGGACCAAAAGAAAGCTCCTAGTACCAGCCCTTTGGTAAAGAAGGTGAGAAACATGATAGAATTCAAGAAAAAACTCATAGTAAAGTACTAAAGTAGAGGAGGAAGAGAGAGGGGAGAATGTGCCTTCTGCAGTGATTCAGTGATTCTACAGTATGTATGATACTAAAGCAGCTGGTATCGATAAAGGCCATAGATCCAGCCAGCGATAAAGTATAGAATTAACAGTGTAGCAAGTAAGTTAAGTGAGTAAGTGATGGAAAAACAACATGAGAGTAACTCTCCAATGTTGTTGGATGTGTATAGGACTGCTGAACATACACCACCCTGCTACCTTCCACCACCCTAAACCTCTGCCAACATCTCCTTCATCAAACTAACTAATTAAACTAACATCTCCTCCAAGGTAAGTGTAAATATAAAAGTGTAAGTATTAAAGTAAATGTAAGTGTAAATATAAAAGGACACCGATGGAAACATGTCACTCTTGAATTTTTTGGGTTATCCTGGGTACTTTACACACATGCTGCTATGTATGATAATCTGTGTATGTAAGTGTATTTGTGTATACCTGAATAAACTTACTTATTTATAAATTAAAATGTAAATATTTCTTATTTATAAATTAAAATGTAAATATTTCTTATTTATAAATTAAAATGTAAATATTTCTTATTTATAAATTACATACAGTGGACCCCCACATAGCAACTTTAATCCGTGGTTGTTATGCGAAATGTTCTGTATGCGAATGAATTTTCCCCATAAGAAATAATGGAAATCAAATTAATCCGTGCAAGACACCCAAAAGTATGAAAATTTTTTTTTTTTACCACATGAAATGTTAATTTTAATACACACAAACTGAAAAAGGCATGCACAATTACATGACACTTACCTTTATTGAAGATCTGGTGATGATTGATGGGATGGGAGGAGGGGAGAGAGAGTGTTAGTGTTTAGAAGGGGAATCCCCTTCCATTAAGACTTGAGGTGTCAAATCCTTTTCTGGGGTTACTTCCCTTCTTCTTTTAATGCCACTAAGACCAGCTTCAGAGTCACTGGACTTCTTTCGCACAACATATCTGTCCATAGTGGCCTGTACCTCTCGTTCCTTTATGACTTCCCTAAAGTGTTTCACAACATTGTCAGTGTAATAATCACCAGCACGGCTTGCAATAGCTGTGTGAGGGTGATTTTCATCCATGAGGGTTTGCACTTCAAGCCACTTTGCACAGATTTCCTTAATCTTTGTAGTAGGCAATTTCTTCAATTTCTCTCTCCCCTCCTCTGAACCAGTTTCCTCAGGTCTGGCCTTTTGCTGTTGAAGTTGATCTATCAGCTCATCAGTGGTTAGTTCTTCATTGTCCTCCTCCACCAACTCTTCCACATCATCCCCACTAACCTCCAACCCCAAGGACTTTCCCAATGCCACAATGGATTCCTCAACTGGCATAATCCTCTCAGGGTTAGCCTCAAACCCTTCAAAATCCCTTTTGTCTACACATTCTGGCCACAGTTTCTTCCAAGCAGAGTTCAAGGTCTTCTTAGTCACTCCCTCCCAAGCCTTACCTATAAGGTTTACACAATTGAGGATATTAAAGTGCTCTCTCCAAAAATCTCTTAGAGTCAGTTGAGTTTCTGAGGTCACTACAAAGCACCTTTCAAACAGAGCTTTTGTGTACAGTTTTTTGAAGTTTGCAATAACCTGCTGGTCCATGGGCTGGTATTAGGAGGCAAAAACTTCACCTTAATGAAGCTCATGTCCCCATAAAGTCGCTCTGCCACGTCTGTAGGATGACCAGGGGCATTGTCTAACACCAGGAGGCACTTAAGGTCTAATTTCTTTTCAGTTAGGTAATCTTTCACATTGGGGGCAAATGCATGGTGTAACCAGTCATAGAAAAAGTCCCTAGTGACCCATGCCTTACTGTTTGCCCTCCACAGCACACACAAATTCTCCTTGAGGACATTCTTTTGCCTGAACGGTCTGGGAGTTTCAGAGTGATACACTAATAAAGGCTTCACTTTGCAATCACCACTAGCATTGGAACACATCAACAGAGTAAGCCTGTCTTTCATAGGCTTATGTCCTGGGAGTGCCTTTTCCTCCTGAGTAATGTAGGTCCTGCTTGGCATTTTCTTCCAAAACAGGCCTGTTTCATCACAATTAAACACTTGTTCAGGTTTCAGTCCTTCACTGTCTATGTACTTCTTGAATTCCTGCACATATTTTTCAGCTGCTTTGTGGTTCAAACTGGCAGCCTCACCATGCCTTATCACACTATGTATGCCACTACGCTTCTTAAATCTCTCAAACCAACCTTTGCTGGCCTTAAATTCACTCACATCATCACTAGTTGCAGGCATTTTTTTAATTAAATCCTCATGCAACTTCCTAGCCTTTTTGCTTATGATCGCTTGAGAGACACTATCTCCTGCTACCTGTTTTTCATTTATCCACACCAATAAGAGTCTCTCAACATCTTCCATCACTTGCGATCTCTGTTTCGAAAACACACTTAAACCTTTGGCAAGAACAGCTTCCTTGATTGCCTTTCTGTTGCCCACAATAGTAGCGATGGTTGATTTGGGTTTCTTGTACAACCTGGCCAGGTCGGCGACACGCTCTCCACTTTCATACTTATCAATGATCTCTTTCTTCATCTCTATAGTAATTCTCACCCTTATTGATGTAGGGTTGGCACTAGAAGCTTTCTTGGGGTCCATGGTCACTTATTTTCCAGATAAAGCACCGAAAACACTGTAATAATACGAAATATTCCGATTGTATGCTTGGATGTTACCGCGGAGGCTGGCTGGTAAACAATGCCACCGGTGGAACATGTGAGGCTGGCTGAGGGCGCACATTGGACGCGTCTCGGACGAAGAGCAGTGAGCGGGTGTTTGGGAGGTATGCGAGGCAAAATTTTTGTGAAAAAAGCGAGCGGTATGCGGATTGTATGGTATGCGATGCGTACGCTATGCGGGGGTCCACTGTACATTGTTTAACCCGTAAACGGTCCAAGCAGATCTACATTCACATGTGTAGTGCTACAAAAGTAGATCTATGTTTTTTTACATATTTTCAAATGTATTAAAAAAAAAGTAGATCTACTTTTTTTACATACTTTCACATGTTGAAAAAACATATATATACGTTTGGACCGTTTACGGGTTAAGTGTGATGGTGGTGGTGGCCAAAGCCTCCACTGCCACCAACACGGCTTCTCTCAGTGGCGGCCCTTAAACCCAACAACAACATTTACACCATTTACTCCTCTCATACATTATGACATTTTATTCATTCTAGAGTATATATCATATTTCTATGTTATATTGTTTATAATGTCATATTAGATGAATTGTGATAGATAAATAAGCCGTAGAAATATTAGCATCATATTGAAGCATAATAAACTTGCCTTCCTCTTGCCTCCTACCTACCTCCTACACCAACAAGAATCGATAAAGGTTAAGTGTGATTTATATTTATTTGTCATTGTTTTCTGTATGTAAATCTGTATTTAATCTTAAAAAAAAATATTTTTTAATACTTTTGGCTGTCTGAAACAGATTAATTGGGTTTCCATTATTTCTTATGGGGAAAATAGATTCGCCAATCGTGAATTTCGCCAGTCGGCAGACTCTCTGGAACGGATTAATCACGAAACTTGGGGTCCACTGTACGTTGGAAACCCTGAAAGGGTTAATTAGGGTTCCTTAAAGCCTTTTCTGGGAGACTACCATAATCACACTAACAGCATATCAAATCTTGAAGATCTAGCAAACTAGTACGTATACTAAATCAAACGCTTAACATCTGCTAGATGTTTAGAGCTTGACCTGTCATTACCTCTCGCACACCCTCCTATCCCTGCCTCAGACGTTTACACTACTGCCTAGCCTCTCTGGAATTACTCATTCTTCATCAGCCAATATCTCTAATCTTTTTAAATGTACCTCTGCTAAGTGCCAGATTAGCCAGGCTGTGATGGATATGAGGGCTGGCAAGCCTGCAGTAGTAATAACCTAGTTGATCAGGAAAGCACTTAACAAACCTAGCCTAGGGCAGGGCTGTAGGAGTAGGAAAATCTTGAAATGCTTTAGAGGTACATCAAAGACAAGACATATCGCAAAACCATTAAAACGGTATAACCCTTCGTCATTTGCCTTAATATCATCCTTTGATGTTTTTCCACTTGCCTGTCTTCTTGTTTAACCAGCTTCATTCTCCTATTTCTTCACTTCGTCTTGAGATTTCATTCCTCCTCCTTGATGAATATGTTAAGTGCAGCACTTGGGTGTCTTTATTGCTGAAAAATTGTATCTGTGCATCAGGCTTCTACATTGAAGGACTGAACAAAGTAGTACACTTGTATTGCAGGATTTTAAAAATTTCAGAATCTTCTAACAGTCAAAGGAGCTTTCAGTTGCTTGTTTGAGAATGGGAAGTTGTGAGAGGAAGCAAATAAATGAAGATTGAGAGATAATTTTTACTTAATATATTTATTTCCATGGGGAAGTGGAACAGAATTCTTCCTCCGTAAGCCATGTAAGAGGCTACTAAAATGCCGGGAGCTAAGGCTAGTAACCCCATCTCCTGTATAAGTCACTTAATTTAAAAAGGAAAACTTTTATTTTTTGTTTTAGGTCACTCTGCCTCTGTGGGATAAGGCCAGATTGCTGAAAAAAAAAAAATCTTGTATACTACATAGTCATTTAATAAAAATGAGTAATGTCATTTTATTAGGTTTCAGTTCCTTAATGAGGAATGCCATGATGCTGGTGAATGGCTAAAATTTTATGCAAGGAATTTGATAAATTTTCTCTTTCAGATCAAACCTGATAACTCTCCATTTGACATGTGCTGTATGACCTCTGTGGGTTAAGTACTTCCATTTAATTACTGCATATTAACACTAATAATAATAATCACAGTTATAATATACTTAGAATAATTAATTGAGAAAAATATAATTCAGGAATGTGTTAGGATGGGCAGATGCTAACAGTCAGGAGATAATCCCGGAAGGTACTCGCCATGTAATTATTGAGATGCCTGAACACAATCCTGGGCAGCTTGGAGGCACCATGCGATTAGGAAAAAGACAAACCCTGTTCAAAACCCACGAGTCAAAGCTGCGGCAGCTCTATGGCAATGTGGATTATGTCGAGGAGAGACATCGACACAGGTAAGTTTATTAATCGTTTACCATTGGGCCCTGCCTTGGTGGAAGGTGGCTATTGTGTTAAAAAAATATAACATTTAAATTTTAATTAAAAAAAGCTTGACATTACACAAATTCTGTTTTGTTGCAGAAAATAAAGGTTGGAGGAAGGGAGTCAAGGAGGTTTTGTGTGTTAAGGGCTTGAACATCCAACAGGCTTGTGTGGATACGTGTGTGTGTGTGTGTGTGTGTGTGTGTGTGTGTGTGTGTGTGTGTGTGTGTGTGCGTGTGTGTGTGTGTGTGTGGTGTGTGTGCGTGTGTGTGCGTGTGTGTGCGCGCGCGCGTGTGCACGTGTGTGCACGTGTGTGTGTGTGCGCGCGCTTGCATGCATGCGTGCGTGCGTGTTAAATTGGATTGAGTGGAGTTGAGTGGTTTTTATGACTTGAGATGGTGTTAGTGTGAACAAGGTAGCATTTATGAAGGAATTGAAGGAAACCAGTTAGCCAGACTTAGTTATGGAGGTGGAAGGACAGTGCCTGCACTTTACTAAAGGATGGGTGAGGATGCTCCATTTCAGGTCATCTGATCTGTGATGTCACCATGCTTTTGGCAGAACAGCAATTAAATGAATGACAGTGAGTATGCTTCAATATGAGATTGCCGATGTTTAGAAAAAATAATTAAGTCGACTATAATATGCTGGAGAGGACGTGTCAAATATCCTTTTTCAACATGAGGTTACTGCATGGCCATGGCCATCCTCTGTATTCTCTGAACATTATTGTTATTTGAATAGTATGTCATGACATTTATTTTAGAGCCATGCAAATACATTAGTTACACATTCAAAATTACTATATATTGAGTTTGACAATATAATAATACAGATATATATGGCAATTAGACACAGTATAAGGCTCTTGAGAAAGCCACTAATTGTGCAAATGAATTTTAGGCCATACCAATAATAAAAGTTGTAATTGGCAAACAGAATTGGTACCTGTGAAGCATTTGGAAGATCATTGATATATATTAGGAATAGCGAAGGTCCCAGGATACTACATTGAGGAACCCCTACTGTAATTTGGAAACAGAATCCAAAACAAATGCTGTTACTGTTTCAGCCTCCAAAGCAACCTATTCTTTGTACATTATCCTCAGACCTCTTCTATGTAATTGTCCTTTATTTCGAATCTACTGTCATTCACACTAGAAGTTTTCCTCATTTCTGAGCTAATAAACCATAACTAAGAACCCTTCGTCATGGTGTAGGCCATACCAATAATTGAATCGGACCTAGTAAAAATGCATAAAACAGACTGTGGGAGGGATATGGAGGGGCCCCCTAACCTTACCCAGCAAAATCTACTCTTTCTGCCTATTTCAGACCACTTCCACTCTTAAAGTGACCAAAATCATCATTGCCCTAGTATCTCTTCATGTCTGTCTATTGTCACAGAGAAATGGCTAATAAAACATTTTTAAGCCACTCTTGAAAATGTCAAATATTTACTAATTTAACCCAAATGGAAGGTCAGAGTTTAGCTTTTCCCATAAGTCGCTGTGAGGCAGGATTTTTTTTTTCTTGCTTGCACCTGCCAAACAAACTATTCTCTCCTGTTTAGGCCAAAATTTACTGCTCTCAGCAAATTTAATTGCACTATGAATTAAGCATAGTTCTAGGGCACTGACACTGATACCACGGACATAGATTTACATTGTGATTGAGCATCAGTGACAAGTGTACAATGAATGCGTTGCACTATGATTACACATTCCTATAGCTTCTGCAGTGATGTATATATGAAAGAGGATGATACTCTATAATAATTAATTACACATGCTGAAAGTATGTGTAGATGAGAATGATGGAATTTTTTAGGCACAGTTATGCAGGTGTAATAACACTCACATACACATATTCATCTTTTAACATCCTATTTTTTCATCCAGGTATGAGGTAAATCCCAAAATGATTAGTGATTTCGAGGCTGCGGGACTAAAATTTGTGGGTCATGATGTGGAGGGTGAGCGGATGGAGATTATGGAACTTGATGATCATCCATACTATGTAGCTTGTCAATACCATCCAGAATATCTTACCCGGTAAGTATTATTTTTTCTTCTGGACCATGGCAGTTGTGATTGAGCAACAGCACTCAATTCTATGTAATAGGTATCTGATAAATTTGTGAACTGTAACAATTGTTTATGGTGAATGGATATAATGTAGTACGTATGAGTTACTGATAGAAATTGGACCTCACAATAGTAAATTTGTATAAATCAAGGGAGACTTACACTAGTAATATCAAAGAGTGAGTCACAATAATTGTGACATTTAGTATGACAACAACACTGCCAGCAAAGGGTAAGAGATGGTTCATGCCTTTACTGAATGTTTTGCCCACACCCGAGCAAAATGTTTAATAGGGTTTACATTACTAGTGTCTTTGTTTTAGCCTCCAGGTTACTTCTTAAGGAAATGTGTTAAATATTACAGTGGACCCTCGACCAGTGATATTAATCCGTTCCTGAAAGCTCATCGTTAATCGAAATTATCGTTAGTCGAGTTAATTTTCCCCATAAGAAATAATGGAAATCAAATTAATCCGTTCCTGACACCCCAAAGTATTGAAAAAAAAAAAAATTTACCACATGAAATATTAATTTTAATACACACAAACTGAAGAAGACATGCACAGTTACATGACACTTACCTTTATTGAAGATCTGGTGATGATTGATGGGATGGGAGGAGGGGAGAGTGTTGATCTTAGTATTTAGAAGGGGAATCCCCTTCCATTAGGACTTGAGGTAGCAAGTCTTTTTCCGGGGTTACTTTCCTTGTTCTTTTAATGCCACTAGGACCAGCTTCAGAGTCACTGGACTTCTGTCGCACAACATATCTGTCCATAGAGGCCTGTACCTCCCGTTCCTTTATGACATTTCTAAAGTGTTTCACAACATTGTCAGTGTACAGGTTGCCAACCCGGCTTGCAGTAGCTGTGTCAGGGTGATTTTCATCCATAAAGGTTTGCACTTTAAGCCACATTGCACAGATTTCCTTAATCTTAAAAGTAGGCAACTTCTTCAATTTCTCTATCCCCTCCTTCGAAGCAGTTTCCTCAGGTGTGGCCTCATGCTGATGAAGATGATCTAGCAGCTCATTAGTGGTTAGTTCTTCATTGTCCTCCTTCACCAACTCTTCCACATCCTCCCCACTAACCTTCAACCCCAAGGACTTCCCCAATGCCACAATGGATTCCTCAACTGGCATAGGATTCTCAGGGTTAGCCTCAAACCCTTCAAAATCCCTTTTGTCTACACATTCTGGCCACAGTTTTTTCCAAGCAGAATTCAAGGTCCTCTTAGTCACTTCCTCCCAAGCCTTACCTATAATGTTTACACAGTTGAGGATATTAAAGTGCTCTCTCCAAAACTCTCTTAGAGTCAATTGAGTTTCTGAGGTCACTACAAAGCACTTTTCAAACAGAGCTTTTGTGTACAGTTTCTTGAAGTTTGCAATAACCTGCTGGTCCATGGGCTGCAGGAGAGGAGTGGTATTAGGAGGCAAAAGCTTCACCTTAATGAAGCTCATGTCCCCATAAAGTCTCTCTGCCACGTCTGTAGGATGACCAGGAGCATTGTCTAACACCAGGAGGCACTTAAGGTCTAATTTCTTTTCTTTCTTCTTCTTTCAACACACTGGCCGTATCCCACAGAGGTGGGGTGGCCCAAAAGGAAAAACGAAAGTTTCTCCTTTCAAATTTAGTAATATATACAGGAGAAGGGGTTACTAGCCCCTTGCACCCAGCATTTTAGTCGCCTCTTACAACCCGCATGGCTTACGGAGGAAGAATTCTGTTCCACTTCCCCATGGAGATAAGAGGAAATAAACAAGAACAAGAACTAGAAAGAAAATAGAAGAAAACCCAGAGGGGTATGTATGTATATATATGCTTGTACATGTATGTGTAGTGTGACCTAAGTGTAAGTAGAAGTAGCAAGACATACCTGAAATCTTGCATGTTCATGAGACAGAAAAAAGGACACCAGCAATCCTACCATCATATAAAACAATTACAGGCTTTCGTTTTACACTCACTTGGCAGGACGGTAGTACCTCCCTGGGCAGTTGCTGTCTACCAACCTACTACCTAGGTAATTTCTTTTCAATTAGGTAATTTTTCACAGTGGGGGCAAATGCATGGTGTAACCAGTCATAGAAAAAGTCCCCAGTGACCCATGCCTTACTGTTTGCCCTCCACAGCACACACAAATTCTCCTTGAGGACATTCTTTTGCCTGAACACACTGGGAGTTTCAGAGTGATACACCAATCAAGGCTTCACTTTTCAATCATTACTAGCATTGGCACACATCAACAGAGTAAGCCTGTCTTTCATAGGTTTATGTCCTGGGAGTGCCTTTTCCTTCTGAGTAATGTACGTCCTGCTTGGCATTTACTTCCCAAACAGGCCTGTATCGTCACAATTAAACACTTGTTCAGGTTTCAGTCCTTCACTGTCTATGTACTCCTTGAATTCCTACACACATTTTTCAGCCGCTTTGTGGTCCGAACTGGCAGCCTCACCATGCCTTATCACACTATGAATGCCAGTACGCTTCTTAAATCTCTCAAACCAACCTTTGCTGGCCTTAAATTCACTCACATCACCACTAGTTGCTGGCATTTTTTTAATTAAATCGTCATGCAACTTCCTAGCCTTTTCACATATGATCGCTTAAGAAATGCTATCTCCTGCTATCTGTTTTTTGTTTATCCACACCAATAAGAGTCTCTCAACATCTTCTATCACTTGCGATCTCAGTTTCGAAAACATAGTTGCACCTTTGGCAAGAACAGCTTCCTTGATTGCCGTTTTCTTGCCCACAATAGTAGCGATGGTTGATTGGTGTTTACTATACAACCTGACCAGCTCGGAGACATGCACTCCACTTTCATACTTAGCAATGATCTCTTTCTTCATCTCCATAGTAATTCTCACCCTTTTTGCTGTAGGATTGGCACTAGAACCTTTCTTGGGGCCCATGGTGACTTACTTTGCAGGTGCAATCACTGCATAGGCTGTGATAATATGAAATTTCCAATTGTATGTTTGGAAGCGACCGCGGTGGCTGGCTGGCTTGTAAACACTGGCACCCATGGGACAAGTGAGGCGTGCTCAGGCCAAAGTGGATGCGTCTTGAACGGAATGAATAGCGTTGGTCGGGTTTTTTAGCGCTAGTCGAGGCAAAATTTTTGCGTTAAAATGTATCGCTAGTCGGACTTATCGTTAATCGATGCCATCGTTGGTCGAGGGTCCACTGTATTTCTTTACCCTCTGGTATTTAAGGCATATGTTCAACATTCAATACAGTAGTGCCCCACTTATACGGCAGATTAGGTTCCAGGCTGTAGCCAGAAAGCAGACATCGCCAGAAGGCAGAACGCCAATTTTTCCATTTATAAATGCCAGACAACAAGTTTACACTAAATTATATTAAGTTAGTAATAGAGCTAGGCATTAAAAACACACAAAGTAAAATACATTCACAGTACATTCATTACTTGCCTTAAAGTATTTGTAATCTTAATGTAGGGAGAGAGGTGAGTAGTACTTATTTGTAGGAAGTCAGGTGCAGGTAGCCCAGGTGTAGGTAGCCCTGGTTCCCCGTCTCATACTTAATATATGATATTTAAAACATCCCAGAGAGGTAAAATACACATACAGTACACTCATTATTTACCTTAAAATATTTTTTTTTTTTAAACAAGTCGGCCATCTCCCACCGAGGCAGGGTGACCCAAACAGAAGGAAAATCCCCAAAAAGACAATACTTTAATCATCATTCAATACTCACCTCATTAACACATAATCACTGTTTTTGCAGAGGTTCTCAGAACACAACAGTTTAGAAGCCACTGTGTCGACAATACATAAAGATAACAGTAACATATGATCCTGTATGTGATGTAAAATTTACAATACAATTCACTACCATGTATACATTATATACAGTACATGAGTAATTAAAATATAACAATAGAAGTAAATTATGGTAAAAAGAATGAAATAATGATTGTACATTACATTGCAGTACTATGTAGGTAGTTTAGGTAGGAAAGGTTTGACATTATGCCCTACCCAGTATGTCGGCAATTTTCAAAGGTTCGACTTAGGTCCATTTTGACTTGCGACTGGTTGGTCGGAACCATGCTTGGTCGTAAGTCGGATGGTACCTGTACGTATAAAGATACACGACATATCCCTCCAGACCCCTAATATCCCGAAGCCCTTCTTTAGAGTGCAGGCATTGTACTTCCCATTTCCAGGAATCAAGTCTGGCTATATAAAAATAACCGGTTTTCCTCACTCCCTTCACTAAATATTACCCTGCTCACACTCCAACAGATCGTCAGGTCCCAAATACCATTCGTCTCCATTCACTCCTATTGAACATGCTCATGCACGCCTGCTGGAAGTCCAAGCCCCTTGCCCACAAAACCTCCCTTACCCCTTCCTTCCAACCTTTTTGAGGACGACCCCTACCCTGCCTTTCTACCCCTACAGATTTATACGCTCTCCATGTCATTCTACTTTGATCCATTCTCTCTAAATGACCAAACCACCTCAACTCCTTTTCAGCCCTCTGACTAATACTTTTATTAACTCCACACCTTCTCCTAATTTCCACACTCCGAATTTTCTGCATAATATTTACACCACACATTGCCCTTAGACAGGACATCTTCACTGCCTCCAACCGCCTCCTCGCTGCTGCATTCACAACCCAAGCTTCACACCCATATAAGAGTGTTGGTACTACTATACTTTCATACATTCAATTCTTTGCCTCCATAGATAGCTTTTTTTGTCTCCACATATACCTCAACGCACCACTCACCTTTTTTCCCTCATCAATTCTATGATTAACCTCATCCTTCATAAATCCATCCGCCAACACGTCAACTCCCAAGTATCTGAAAACATTCACTTCTTCCATACTCCTCTCCAATTTGATATCCAATTTTTCTTTATCTAAATCATTTGATACCCTCATCACCTTAATCTTTTCTATGTTCACTTTCAACTTTCTACC